ATCTTTACCATAAGATCATAAAACAAAGAAAATGTCATTAACTGCTATTCTTATTAACTTTATGCTGCTTTTCAGTAACACTGTTTCAAATACATTTTCTCCCAGAACTCTGTGTTGCTCCAGAATCAAAAGGAGGATTTGAAAAAGAGCCATCAAGATCATTTTCACTAACCAAATTAAGGAAAAATCTGTTTCATCAAAGTATGATGTTTAATATTTATTTACATTTCTTTGATTAATTTAAAGATATTATTATTAATATCAGCCTTTAATAGCACTGATAATAGTTTTTTTAATCAGAATAACATTATGGGCCTAATTAAAATAATTGCATAGGGTTCAAAATAAGTATGGTGCATATATTTTCATTAACATAATCGAGTTTACTTTATATAAACTTCTAGATTATGTTTAAAAGAATAGGGAGACGCCTTACAACGTTCAGCAATATGTTATAGCTATATTATGGTATTTAAAATCTAACATATTCTAATCCAGATTTTCCCAAATTCCTGCCATCAATTCTCTGATCTAGATTCAGAGGATATAATCATTGAAGACATTTTACATATACTTAATCCCTGACCTAATGAATAAAGCAGATAAAATGTGTAAAAAACCCAGTCAGAACATTGGTCAGAACACAGCCAGCCACTTTGGAGACATGGGGTTCAATATGATACAGTTCTGCTCTTCTCAGCTAATAGCAGACTAACACAATGACTGCTTTCGTAATGGGACTATTTATGCTGAAATATTTGCAAAAGATTTGGATCGAAACAGAAGCTAGAGTAGGATGATTTTAAGATTAATATTTCCCATTCTGTAAAGGGCTGGCAAGTTTAATTTTGTTACCATATAACCAGAGGAATCATATATTTTATCTTGAGATAAGTATTTATAGAATTAATAGAATGAATGAATGCTCCTTCAGACTATCTTGAATTACAAATTCTAAGAATTTCTAGCAACTAAAAGTAATGTTTAAGTGAGATACCTATGTATATTTTCATGCTTATATATGAGTTCATATGAGATAGAAAAAAAGTAAAAATCACTGATGAAGTTTGTGTGGGAAATCACAATGGAAACCTGTTAAGCAGCTAAAATTATTCTTTTAATAGCTAGTATGGAATAACCATATTTATGGCTGATTACACAATGATGATTAATGCAGATTCTGAATTGAAGTGTGATTTGCAGCTTTTTCAGTGTGTGACCAATGTAATGTGCCACTTGAATTTAGGAATCTTTTTTGTGTGTGCGTCTGCTTTCTTACAGACAAAAGGGTGATGGATATCATTGTCCACTCAGATAATTATTTAGATGACCTTTTTTCAGATTATTATGAAAAAACAACAAGCGCGACTGACATTTCAACAAACTATTTCCGAGAAGGAGCTCATGTACGAGTGAATTTGCTTAATAACAACATCCCTAAAGGTCCTTGTTCTTTATGTGGTATGGGGAGTTCCAGAAGGGAAACAGTTTATGGTTGCCTTCAGTGTTCTTTTAATGGACAAAAGTTTGTGCGACTCCATGCTGTGCCTTGTTTTGACCTCTGGCACAAGAGAGTGAAGTAGATTTTTGATAAATGTTTAGGGGCTGGCTCCAGAGTTAATTGTACTTTGTTCCCAGTGAAACCAATGGAACTAGCTAAGTCACGGCTATCTTTTCATCTTGATTTCAGTGGAATTTAAATACAACTAACTTAATCTGGGTCCGATTCTGTATCTTAGCTAGGTTTGATTGTGCCATCAAGCTCTGTGAATTTTGACTGCAAACATGTAAAAGATGGAACCACGAAGACTTTTATTTGCTTCTGTTTTTAAAAGGCTTCTTGTTATAAAAATAAGTATCAATTTAGAAGTAACTTAATAAAATTGCTTTCCAAAATTTATTTTCTTGGATTTCTTTTGAGCTACATATTTCAGGAGTGCTAATATGTACGCTTTTGACTTAAAATAGATTTTTTTTTAATCTAAAATGTCACAGTAGGTGCTTAATTTTTTTTTCAATTCTAGTAATAATTTGGAAATATTTGCTGTTGAGGAATGTGGGTTCTTAACAAACCACAATAATATAGGAAAATATATTCAATATTAATTATGTAAATATTTAATTGAAATATCAGTTTACTCTGGTTAAATGTATACTTAAATGGGAAAATGAAATCTAGTCATAAGAAAGACATGCTTTAACTTAAAGTTGCATTTATTTCTCAACATCTTTTCCCCTTTTAGTTTATTTGTCAGAGTTCAGTTTGGTTTTATATTGTTACTACTTGTTATATTATTGTCTTTTAATAGGTTTGAAAATAAATTGTAATAAAAATACATGCTACTGGAGGGAAAAAATCCTTACACTTTTTAAAACTGGTTGCAAGTCTGATACAATGTGAACCTTAATACTAAGACACAGCCCTAAGATGGTGCCATTCATTATTTTCTTACATGTTAAATTTGAGAAGCCTGGAACCTCTTAAAACCCTTCATATTTATGGCCAATGCTGGTATAAAAAATAATGGAATACACATTGTATTCTCTTTAAGCCTGGTGAATGTATTGCTTGTTCATTATGTTTGTTACTCTTCTTTTTTATTCTTTTCTCTTTCTCGCACACATACAAGCGCGTGTGCACACACACGCACACGCACACACAAAGACTCATGGATGCTGCACCACACTCCAGAACTATTTCCATTTCCAATGTTGTTGCCTGCATTATGCATATGATGATGTAACCACTGTAGGTGATCAAGATTAATGTAAGCATTAGCCAGACCAACAACAAAAACCCAAACCACAAAAGGGAAAATAAATGGCAATATTATGAACTGCAGGTGTACTGCTTTACAAGGTTACTCTATATATTTGCTAAAATATCTGAAACCTTTTATAATGTTGTTGAATTAGAAACCCCAGTGTTGCAAATACATTATCCTTCTTATAATACTAACCAGCCTACAGTAATTCTGTTTAACTGCCAAGCAAACTGCCTTCAATGTAGGAGTTATCAGTGCCAATGCCTATGTCTATTACTGCTCAGGAACATACTTCTTCCACTTTGGGTTTAAAACAATCTGTAGGTTCTTTCTGGCAAGGTTGAGAAACAGAGATGGATTTTATTTTTTCCCTCTATATATGTATAGCATGTATGCATTTATTAAACAAACTTATATAGCCACCAATCTACCAGAAGGAACCCTGGACGGTAAACAATAATCAAATACAATTAAAATGGGGGGGGGGGAACCATTTAAAACAACATTGAGGCCCCAATAACACTTGCATCCATCAACCACACCATGCCAGCTCCAACACCCTGGCCCTAGAGCCTGGTGGAAAATCTAGGTCTTCACTGCTTTCCTGAAAGCCAACAGAGCCAGGGCCATCTGTATCTCCAGGGGGAGGCAGTTCCATAAGGAAGGTGCCATGACAGATAAGGCACACTTCCAAGCCCCCCCAGGTAATATGGTTTCACTAAGGGGACTCAGAGCATGGCCATCCGGCCAGGCCTAATGGGACAGGGAGAAACCATTGGGGATAGGTAGTCCTGCAAGTTTAACTTCAAAGTCAGCTTGGTGTAGGGGTTAAAGGCACCAGGGCAGGGACCAGGAGACTCTGAGTTCTAGCCCTGCCTTAAGCACAAAGCCAGCTGGATGACCCTGGGCCAGTCACTCACGCTCACTAGGAAGCAGGCAAGGGCAAAGCACTTCCAAAATATACTCCCAATAAAACTGCATGGACTTTGCTTGGAGTCAAAACTGACTTGAAGGCACAACAAACGAACAAAAAACCCTGCAAATTAAAACGAGCAGCACTTTCAGTAGAAAAATATGACATATAGCTCCAACAGCAGCAACTTGTCACAGAAATTGTGATTCCCGGAATGCAACTCCTTATTTTTAAAAGTACTTACTGACAAACATGCTAGTTTTAACCTTAAGAGATGAGGGGTTTTTTTAATCTAGACAATGGAAAGTTAATTTGTTCCAAAAGCAATAATAATTATGGCTGAAATAAATTGTTTGCAAGAATAAGCTAGGATTGTATGTTCTCTTGGAAGCTTCATACAGTGTTAGTTATTTGCAAGCTATTGTGCTGTGTGTTTTCTGTTTTAATGTGTTCTTCCATGCATCTTGTTTTTACTGCTTATTTCAGCACATTCTGAAAAACTAAAGCAAACCTCGCTGGACATATTTTCCATATGGCATTAGTGTGCATTTGCTAGAATGAAATACTTCCCAAATGCTATGCTAAAGAAATGGAGAATTCTAACTTGTGACACAGGGAGCATTGCATATTATTAATAAATGCTCTTGATATGCAGTGTCCACCATATCTCTCTTCTTATTCTTCCTCAAAGGGCAGATTCTTATTCTTCTCCCTTCAAGAAAAATCAACTGAAAAAAAAATATAGGCTACCATCAAAATATGTCAGGATATTGTAACTATCCAAGCTTTTTGATTTAAATAAGGATTACAAGCCTGCTTGGTGCTAAGCATACATTATGTCAGTGTTGTCCACACTTGGTCACTTTAAGATGAGTGGACTTCAACTCCCAGAATCTTCCCCAGCCAGCAGGGCTGGCGTGGGGAATTCTGGGATT